CCTACAGTTGTATTTCAGTGAGGTCTTTTGAATCAATAAGTAGAGCAAGAGAGAAAGAAAAGAACAGAGAATTTCTGGAAGGAAGAAATTTTGGGGGGGAAATGTGGTGAGTGCTGTGATTAAGTCACTGTGCTCAAAAATGAAGCTGTTAAATCTGCAACTGATTAAGTTGAAAGAGAAGAAGGGAAGTCAGTATATAAAGAAGTGCACGTACAGTTAATCTTTCTGGTAAGGGAAATCCAAGTTTGTTTCTCCCAGAAAAAAAGAACAACTCTGAAGTTGGGGGGAGGTTGTGTGGGGATTTTATTATTGTAGAATCCATGGTAATTCCAGCACAATCTCAGGAAGTAGTAAAAAAGAAATGTATCAGTTTGGGCATTAACTTCTTCCCCATGTTGTGTCCTTTAAGGAACTTCTTCATGGCCCTTAGAAGTACAAACTCAGTGTCTCTGTCTAATCTGTTGTTACCTGATGCCACCTCTCTAATTGCTGCATTCATGTGTTCTGCTAGTTGTATCTCCTTGGAATATAAGCCTTTGTTTTGGATTCATAATTAACTCCTTCCTGCTCTGATTATTTCTCTCCCATCGTGGCAGCACATGACTCTTTTTCTTAGCCTATTTCAAACGACATATCTGTATGGAGAAGTAAGAGAAATCAGTGTGTTTCAGCAAAGCCTCTGATCTCTTCCTAACTGTGCTTCCAAATTTAAATGACATTTTCATGTTGCAGAGCCATGAACTTGGTGTTTTAACTGAAGTCAGGCTGTGCCCACAAGACAGGGCTGAAGCCTCATGAGCTCCAATGGATTTTCTCCTTGAGGTGCTGGGAGCACATCCAGAGAAGGGAATGGAGCTGGGGAAGGGTCTAGAAAACATGTACTGTGAGGAAAGGCTGAGGGAGCTCTGAGGTTGTTTAGTCTGGAGAAGAGAAGTCTCAGGAGGGACCTCATGCTCTCCACAACTCCTGCCAGGAGGTTGCAGTGAGGTGTGGGTTGATCTCTTTGCCATGTCCCAAGTGAAAGGATGGGAGGAAATGGCCTTAAGTTGCCCCAGAGAAGGTTCAGATTAGATATGAGAAACAATTTTTCTCTGCCAGAGTGTTCAGCCATTGGAATGAGCTGCCCAGAGAGGTGGTGGAGTCACTGTCTTTGGGAGTGTCCCAGAGGCATTTGGATGTGGCCCCTGGGGACATGGTTTAGGAGTAATGATGGTGGTGCTGGAGTGATGGTGGCACTGGATGGCCTTGAAGGTCTCTTCCAGCATTGATGTTTGTGTGATTTAGTAGTGAGAACAGGTATAATTCAATGTTGAAGCTTGATGGTAGATAGGTGAGTCTGGTCTCAGCATGTAATCCATAGGGTCCAAAGGAGAGAATTATCAAGGTGTCTTTCATGGGAACTGGAAGGGTAATGGCAAAGAGATCTTCTGGCTATTGGTCTTTGGCAACATCTTGCCTGTTGCCACTTGTCCTATTGCTGGGCCCCATGGAGCAGAGCCTGATCCATCCTGTGACACCTCCTGCAGACACTGATGGACATGGATGAGGTTCCTCTCAGTGTCTCTTCTCAAGGCTGAACAGCCCTAACTCCCTCAGCCTGTCCTCATGAGAGAGATGCTCCAGTCCCTTGAGCATCTCCATAGCCTCTGCTGGACCTGCTCCAGGAGCTCCATGACCTTCTGGCCCTGAAGAGCCCAGAACTGGACACAGCACTACAGATGTGCCTCATGGGGACTGAGTAGAGGGGCAGGAAGGATCATCTTCCTGACCTGCTGGCAATGCTCTTCCTGATGTCCTCCAGGCCTTCTTGGCCCCCAGGGCACACTGCTGGTCAGGGACAGCCTGTTGTCCACCAGGACTCCTGGGTCCTTCAGAGAGCTGTTCTCCAGCAGGTTGGCCCCAGCCTGTCCTGGTGTCTGGGGTTGTTCTTCCCCAGGTGCAGGACCTGCATTTACCTTTGCTGTACTCCTTCTCTGCCCTTCAGAGCTGGTCCTCACCTGCCCATGGATATTTACTTGGTTGCAGAACTTGGAACACCTCTCAGACATACCCGAAGTTCTAAGGAAATCATTTTGGATGGTATTTTTTGTTGATTTGGACTGCCCTTTCCTCAGACACAGGATTGCATTTATAGTCAGGAACAACACGGTATTTGTGCCTTTAGGAGAAGTAGATTTGTAGGCTCTACATCACTTTCTGGGTTTACCTTGCTGGCAACGTCTTGAATATGTTTTATCTCTTCCTGAACATGGGAAATGGAGGAGGATCAATTCAGATCTGGTTTAAAGTGGCTTGAACCAAGTTCTCACAGTAGGGGGTTTTTCCTTCTGATTTTAAAGTCTAGCATTGACTCATTTGGTGGTGTTAAAGTGCACTTTTCTACTTCTCCCCAGAGGGAAGTTAGTATTCTTTTAAGTGAAACTATTTGAAAAGCAGAACACAAGGCTAAAATAAGGCAGTGTTCTCCAGAGCTCTCAGAAGGTGTAGATTTATTTACTGTAGTTAAATCATAATTAGTTCTCAGGGGATAGTGTATCTTTTAAACTGCTTTATTGCCACCATATTGGTTTTCTAAATAATCAGAAACTGCTGCTCTTAGATTCTGGAGTATGAACCAAAAAAGTTTTAAGTAGAAACAAATGTCTGGAATTGGTGGTTGTCACTGAAGATAGCGACACAAATAAATGAGCACTTGAAGAAAATGTGGAGAAATACAAAACTGGTGTTACCAGAAAGCACCTTAAATTAACTATGGCTCTGAGTTTATTCAGTGAGGTAGATATAGTCGTGTTTTGCAGCGTCATTTTTCACTTCATCGTTTTTTAATATTCTAATGGGTTTTGGCCAAGGCTAAATGTTCACTGAAAAGGGGTGACAGAATCACAGAATCAACCTGGTTGGAAAAGACCTCCAAGATCATGGAGTCCAACCCTACCGTGGTCACTAGACCATGGCACTAAGTGCCACATCCAATCTCAGCTTGAAAACCTCTAGGGGTGGTGAATCCACCACCTCCCTGGACAGCACATTCCAATGCCTGATCACTCCCTCTGTAAAAAATCTCTTCCTAAGATCCAACCTAACCCTCCCCTGGCAGAGCTTGAGTCTGTGCCCTCTTGTCCTGCTGCTGGTTGCCTGGGAGAAGAGACCAACCCCCACCTGACTCCAACCTCCTGTCAGGGAGTTGGAGAGAGTGATAAGGTCTCCCCTGGATAAATGGTAATGCAATGGGAACTTAAAATATTAGCTGATATTTAAGCCTGGATTTCCATGTATGTCACTTAGTGTTCCAGCTGATAAGCATGTGGATTTTTTTCCCTAATTGGCAGGTTAATGTTCGAGTTGCCTGAGGAGATGGGTTTAATAGCAGTTGCTGTTCGACAAACACAAGGCAAAGGTGAGTAAGTTTCCTCCTAGTGCCAATAAATGTGCATTAAACCTATGAAATAAAACATTTTAATGTCACATAACTGCCTTAAATAATTACTGTTTTGGATAATATAATGTATGGAATAATCGTGTCCTCTTCTCCTCCTGCTTGAACTGTGGATTCAAACTCAAAGCCTAAGTCAACAGAGACCAAAGTAAACATTTTCAGGATGTTTGGTGGCTTTTGCAGAAATGATTTAGTGGTCTTCTAGTTTCTGCCAAAAAGTCTTCCCAGTCTGCCCTCACTACATTTAGTGTAATACAAGTCAGAGTTCCAAAGCACAACTCCTTTTGGACCTAAGTGGAGCAGGACTGGGGCTTGACTTGCTCTGATGTGGAGGTTTCTGCAGTCTGCAGGACCTGCCTGAACAGTCTTTGCAGATAGATGTAAGCAGGTTCTGTTTCACAGAACAGAACCATAAAATGGGTTGGGTTGGAAAAGACCTTAAAGATCATCTGCTTCCAACCCCCTGCCATGGGCAAGGACACCTCCCACCAGCCCAGGTTGCTCCAAACCCCATCCTGCCTGGCCTGGAACATTACCAGGGATGGGAAAATTAAACAGCCTCTTCTTTATTTGAAGAAGAAGCTTTGCCCTTTAACCCTTTTTCTTTCAAAACTAGTTGGGAAACTCCACTGCACAACTTACAGTAGATTCTTGTTTGGATACTACCGAAGCTTTCTCTTGAGCAGTTTTCTACATTCACAAAGTGATCTTCTCTATGAATATTCTTTCTTATAATAAATCAATATTCTATTGTAATAAATATTCTTCTCTTGCATTGAATTTCTCTCTGTTCCCTGTCCCTCCCCAGGTCGTGGTGGAAACGTTTGGCTCAGCCCCGTGGGCTGTGCTCTCTCCACCTTACACATCACCATTCCTCTGCATTCCAACCTAGGCCAGAGAATTCCTTTCATCCAGCACCTGGTGTCTCTGGCAGTGGTAGAGTCAGTCAGATCAATACCAGAATATGAGGTATGTCGTTCTAATTCTTCTCTCCATTCCTGTTTCCATTAATTTCAGGGTTTAACTGTTTCTTCTGTGTGTGCAGTGACTGAATGGACAGTGTAGATCTTCAGCACTGATGTAGTGGTGAAAATTGCCGTCCTATATGTTTGATTATTGATGTGTTTGAAGCTGTCTAGTGCACACAGATAAGTACTGTCTTTTACTGAGCTGAGTGCACTGCACTCAGTTCACTCCTAGTCTTATGAAACTTAAACCTCAGCAGTAAAGAAAATGACCATTTTGTTTGTCCAACAATTGGCTTAATTTGTTTTGATTTTCAAGGGGTTGGGGAAGAAGGAGGAAAGGAAAAATGAATAAAACTGACAAATTCTCCTCTGCTTTTTTTTGTGTTGCTCTTTCAGTGGTCACTTTATCCCTTTTAAAGGATTTTTCCAACCCTTGTTTAAGGTTGAAGACTGATTTCTAAAGCAAGAACTTAGCAGTATTGCTCTCAAGAGGGAATCAAGTGTCCTGTCATCAGTATTAAAATGAAGAACCAGTCTTCTTCACCGCCTCATAGATCTCCTGTTTAATGTGACCATTTCCTAATATTTGCTAACTATAAAACTTTGGTATTTTACAGAAGTAGTTAACTAAAGCATATGTTTCCTATATTACAGAAAATCAATGACTTATACACATTTACACATGAACTTTATTATAGTGGCACCCAGTAGCTTTGCTGGAGTTTAGGGGCTGTCAGCCTTTCTATTAAAACCTTCGAACTTCAGTGCTTCATAACCTGACTGTAAAAACAAAATGCTTCAGGCTAAAATTTGCAACAGCAAATATGTGGCTGGAGTGAACAACTTAACCATTTCAAACAGAAGGGACAAGAGTTGGTGTTATAAAATATGAGGCTGACTGGGGAAGGAGCTAATTTATGAATGGAGGTGGTTTTGCTTCTGTGTGTCTGCCCTGGTTTACTGTGGCATTTTTCATCTTATTCCATTCAAGAGGAAAAAGGTGACTGAACTACTAAATATTAGTGTAGAACTGTGTATGAATAATACAGGGACTGTATGTAGCATATGGAGAGCACTCAGCTTGCTATGACCATGACAGAGCTACTGAACCTGATAACACATCAGCCCTAGGTAGTGGGTGAAACCAGTGTTAAGGGTCTGGACTTCAACATGTTAAATCAGGGAAGTTCAAAAACTTATCAGAAACTCGATGCTTAAATTTCCCCTTCAGGCAGGTAGTGCAAAGCTTTTCTTCATGTCCTTGTCATGCCAACTGCAGTAGCTGCAAACAATGAGCTATCTATAGAATCACAGAATGTTTGAGTTGGAAGGGACCTTAAAGATCATCTCATTCTACCCCCTGTCCTGGGCAGGGACATCTCCCACCAGCCCAGGCTACTCCAAGCCCCATCCAACCTGGCCTGGAACACTCCCAGGGATGGAGCAGCCACAGCTGCTCTGGGCAACCTGTGCCAATGCCTCAGCACCTCACAGGGAGGAATTCCTGCCCAGTATCTAATATAAACCTACTCTCTTTCAGATTAAACCCATTCCCAATTCCCTGTCCCTCCAGGCCCTTGTCAGTAGTCTCTCTCCATCTTTCCTATAGCTCCTTCAGGCACTGAAGGCCACAATGAGGTCACGCCAAAGCTTCTCTTCTCCAGGCTGAACAATCTCAACTCTCTCAGCCCTTCCTCCCAGCAGAGCTGCTCCATCCCTCTCATCCCCTTGGTGCCTCCTGGACTCTCTCCAACAGCTCCATGCCCTTCCTGTGCTGGGGGCCCTAGAGGCTTCATGCTCTCCTCCAAATTTCCACCCCTACCTGGGGGTATATTAGAATTTTAATAATCCTTTAACACACTTCAATGTCCTTCGTTATGCTCAAAGTCCATTTCAGGACCCCCAGTCACAAACCTGCAATACCATGTCTCAGTTTATCACCCAGTCATCATTTTTAGGATTGCCCCAAATATTGACTCTGCTAAACAAGCAGCACCTGTGGTTTTTATACTGGGTCGTCACAGAGCAGATGTGACTGCTGGGTTGGAAGTTTTACTGTCAGATGTTAGTGCTGAGCATGGGCTTTATATCAAGACAACATTTTGCTTGCCCTTTCTGAGACAAGCAGACATGTCTCTGTAGTAAGTGAAGATAAGATGCTCTATTTCCAGCTTATTTGGAGACATTCATCATTCCTTTACCCTTGTGCTGTTCCTCATGAATCCCTTTTGTGGTGAAGTCTCCACTGTGCAGTTTCTCTCATGAGAACACCCAGTTGACTGGGTTGTTCTTCCTGCCTGTTGTCACTTCAATTGCAGAGCTACTGTCTGGTGTCTTACAGGTGTATGTTTCCCTCAAGGGAGATCTGGACAGCTCTTTGGAAGATCTTTTAGCACTGATAATACAGTTTAACTCTGTCCTACTTTGCGTATCTTAAGAGCCTCCTATAAATCTATTCCCGGTGCAAAGAGTCAGTTTGTTTTCCATAAGGAATATGAGTTGGTGATACTTTCCTCTAGACTGCTTTGATAGCAAAATCAGGGAGTATTTCCTGTCAGTGAATGTGTAATGGACTCCTCTCTGGCCTTTAAATCTGTCAGGAAAGTAGACATGGACCCAGGTGCAGTTTTCACACATCCTGTAAAGGGATTTCATAATCTACAATAGGAGGGAATGGGACTCTTGTAGTCCTGGAGCACTCCCATAATTTGCCCCTGGGGACACAGTCATGTGCAGTTTTTCAAACTACAGGAAGCACATTTGCTTTCTTTTGGTGTTTAAGTAGCCAGTGCAAAGTTCAGTTCAGTCCTGTGGTTTCAACAAATACCTCTCTATTGGGCTGGAACTGTGTCACACAGCTCAGTTTGTGTTTCCAGCTCCACAGTGTGGCCTGAGCCGAAAGCCCTGAACGTATTTAGGACATGACTGAAGTACTTAGAGAGTTGTGAACTGGAATTTTTCCTGTCTGCTGAATTTCCTCTCTGAAATTCAAGATGTCGTGGTCTCCTGGCCTGGTGTCTGGGGCAGAGTGGTGATGCTACTGGGGGCTCTCCCTGGTTGGGTGTCAGCACTGAGCTTCAGTGGCTGCCACAGTTTGCATCTTGCTTCAATAAATCTTTTCAGTCTTCAATAAGCACTTGTGAATGGAGGAAATGAAGTCTAGAAAACCTCACCACTTTGAGACTGAAAACCTCTAGTATCTTTAGTCCCTGTTTTGGTTACTCTAAACCTTTATTATCTGCTGTGTATTTCTTCATTTAGTTATTTAATTGCTTTCCTCTGACAGCTGCCAACCTCCTTGTTAACCATGTCACCATGTTACTGTAATGTGTTTCAATGGCATTTGTGGAGCACTTAAATAGATTCTCTTTATGAAGAGCATTTGACAACGGCAAAGAGGTAGAGAGAATTCTCCTCTGCTCTGCTGTGGTGAGACACAACTTGGAGTTCTGCATCCAGCTCCAGGGCCCCAACATCAGAAGGATGTGGACCTGCTGGAGTGAGTCCAGAGGAGGACATGGAGATGCTCTGAGGGCTGGAGCAGCCTCTGCTATGAAGGCAGAGAGCTGAGGGTGTTCAGCCTGGAGAAGAGAAGCTTCAGGGAGACCTTAGTGCCTCAGGGGGGCTCCAAGAAAGCTGCAGAGGGACTTGGGACAAGGGCCTGGAGGGACAGGACAAGGGGGAATAGCTTTACACAGACAAAGAACAAAGTTAGATGGGATATTGGAAAGGAATTCCTCCCTGTGAGGTGCTGAGGCACTGGCACAGGTTGCCCAGAGCAGCTGTGGCTGCTCCATCCCTGGGAGTGTTCCAGGCCAGGCTGGATGGGGCTTGGAGTAGCCTGGGCTGGTGGGAGGTGTCCCTGCCCATGGCAGGGGGTGGAACAGGATGATCTTTCAGGTCCCTTCATACGCAAACCACGCTGTGATTCTGTATAGACTGTGAGGCGATGAAAGAGCCAAGTTGTAATCAGTATTGAAGAACAAAATGTTTCTAAATGTCTGTTCTTGTTTCTTTAGGGTATTGAGCTGCGAGTGAAATGGCCAAATGACATTTACTACAATGATCTCATGAAGCTTGGTGGAGTTCTGGTAAACTCAACACTTATTGAAACAACATTTCATATACTTATTGGTAAATGTCTCTTTTTAAGCTTTCCTATGCTGCTTTTTCCTGAAGAAGTTGGTTATCGTTGTCTTTATCAGTTCAAATGATAAGGACAAGAACAAATTGTGACATCAGGCATAAGGAAATAAATCCCAATATTAAATCAAAAGGAAGCACAAAAAGTAAATGTTTTCATTCTTCTTAATAATTCCATATGCTTGACAAGGAAAACATAACTGAAAGCATCTGGAGTGATGTAGCAGAGTTCAAAGAAAGAGCATTACACGAGAAAGGGAAAATGTATTCCTTGATTTATTGCAAAACTACTAGAATATACTGCAAACTTTATCCTATTTTTGCCGTTTACCTTTTTTTGGCAACATATAACCACAGAATCATAGAATTTAAGGGTTGGAATGGACCTTGCAGATCATCTAGTCCCAACCCCCCGCCCTGGGCAGGGACACCTCCTCACTAGAGCAGGTTGCTCAAGGCTTTATCCAACCTGCAGCCCAGGATTCCGTTGGTCTCTGGACTGAGCTCACACTGCAGCTCATGGGGAGCTTCTTATCCACTGTCACTCCCAAGTCTTTCTCCTCACTGCTGGTTTCAATTCCTTCCCCACCCAACCTGTTTTTATCATCCCAAGTCTGATCATCAGCCTGCAGTTTGATAAGGAAGTCTTTGTCCCAAGCAGCAGCATCACAGCTCTGTCAAACACAGATTCTCTTATGCTCAGAAAGCTGCCAGCAGTGCTCTAGATTCTGCTGCCAAAAAGAGTTGTCTCTGCTATGTCTGAAAAAATAAATGGAAGTTCCTTAGCAAGTCTAAAAGGTTAAAGCAGAAGATGATAACATGTGGGTTGTATTTGCAAAACATGGAAGCAGAAGATGGTTGGTGGGACACAGAGAGACTTCTTAGATGTCTCAGTGCAACTTCCATTCTCACTTACAAAATGAGGGTATAACAACTGAATAGAAGATTTGAGGTTGAGCAAGTTTCACAGAAGGAGGTGATGACTATTTGAACTGTTTTGCTTGTTCTCACCTCAAAAATTACAGCACCTTGACATCTCTATCATTATCACACTCTCTTTGCCAGATACTTTACTTACATGAATTGCTGCGTATGAATCCAAGAATATTTTCCATCATTTCAGTGATGTATGTCATCGAGTATGAAATGCTGAGGGAGTCGGGCCTGTTCGGTCTCGAGAAGGGATGACTGAGAGGGCCTCATTAATGTATACATGTATCTGAACATGCCAAGAGGATGATCAGGCTCTTCTCGGTGGTGAAAACCAATAAAACGAGGAACAGGCAGGAACTGATGCCCAGGAAGTTCCGCCTCAACATGAGGAAGAACTTCTTCCCTATGCAGTGACCAAGCTCTGAACAGATTGCCCAGAGAGGTTGTGGATTCTCCATCACTGGAGATATTCCAGAACCATCTGGACACAACCCTGAGCCATGTGCTCTGGGCTGACCCTGCCTGAGCAGGGAGGTGGGACCAGATGACCCACTGTGGGCCCTTCCAACCTCTCCCATCCTGTGATTCTGAGTAGGGATGACTCATGACATCTAAGTTCCTGTATTAGTAGTAGCAATGAGATCCAACTTCCACAACAGGAAAGGTAATCCTTTTTCTACAGTCATGCAGATTCCTTACCTAGACAGAATCACAGAATCATTTAGGTTGGAAAAGACCTCCAAGATCGTTGAGTCCAACCTTTGCGTGATCACCACCTTGTCAACTAGACCAGAGCACTGAGTGCCACATCCAGTCATTGAACTCCCTGTTTCCATGGCATTCAGGAAGAATATCCTATATATGAGGATAATGATCAAAATCAAAGATAATCTCTGTGGTCTCACTGCTCTGAGAAGCATCTCAGGAGAATAAAGTCAAAGCCAAACCAGCGCTCAAACCTCACACGTGACACACTTCACGTTCCTACTTCTACACATCTTTCATTTTAAAATCTTTCTTTGAGTTGAAAATCTAGAAATGAAGAGCTTGATCGTGGTAGGACTTTTGGAAGAAGAGCTCTGCAGAAGAATATACCTCATTAATGTGAGGGCCAGACTTGGAACAGGCAGCCAAAGACAAGTGGAATGCAAGGGACAGCCAAGGAGCGTGACCTGCGAACGCTCTGCTGCCTCTGCCTGCAGCTAGGGCCTGTCCAAACACTGCACAGATGCTGATGGCAGGGCTAGCTCTAGCACTGGAAGATATATCAGCCACATCAGCACAGCGCCAGGCTGAGGCTGAGCATTCATTTCTCACTCTTCTCACATGGACAGTGCAGTCCCAAGCACCTCATATTTCTCCATTATCTGGCTGTGTCGTTGCCACCATGTGTATTCCCAGGTGCTTCTGCCTCAGCTGAGCTCATAGCTCAGGATGGCTCTTGTGTCTCTGGGATTGGGTTGCTGAGCACTGGTTTCCGTACATGCAATCCTGAGTGCCCTGAGGCTGCTGGTGGACCCCAAGGCCCCTTGATGCCCCCTGAGAGTGCCAATCACAACTTGATGGCCACAGTCACTCTCTTCATTTATGCTATATTTGAGTGTAAACAGCTGAGTTGGGATTTGCTGTCGTGGCACACTGATTTTCCAGTTCATTTTCCTTTGTTTCCTTCCAATAATACATCTCAGCTCATTTCCACAGCGTCAGTGTGTAGGTGCTAGTATCACTGGGTCTTGTTTGGTTGAGTTCCCTGACTAGTTAAAGTAAAAAACCTCTTTTCTCTGTCTTTTCTCTTCAAGAGATTCTTCCCCTCATAGTCAATACAAATGACTTCAACATATGAATAGTCTCATTAAGAGCAAATTTCCAAAACAAGGCATCTGCACCTTCCTGCAGATGGAGGTGGAGCATGTCTAAACCCGAGTGACAGACAAGGGGTTTATCCCAAATGTCTGAGGAAGGTAAAAAACCCAAATTATTAGGAGAAAAAAATAAACAGGTAATACAATCTATTTCTTTACATGCCTCGAAGCCTGTTCCAGCAGGCTGCAGAAAAGGCCCCAGGAGCCATATTTAGACAAGAAAGGCTCTCTGCCAACATTATTCTAGCTGGAGAAATCTCAGTGAGACACTGGAGGCTTCTAAAGGATATGCTGTGGGAAGATAGATTAAGCAAACTGGAGTCTTACAAAGTTAAAAGTTAAATCTTCTGGGCTTTCCAGAGCAAGGCAAACGAGGCTTATCAGCTGAGTGGAAAGGGTTGGTTCCCAGACAATGCAATCAGCTAACTGGAGTGAACAGAAAGGTCTCTGAAGATCAAACTCCATCTGAAAGTATGATCAGTGGTGCACTCTGAGTGAGCTGATGACACGTCAGCTTCCAGGGAGGGAAAGAATTCCTCACTTTGATGTCATTGTGACCAAGGTACAAGTTGCCATTCAGCATCTTTCCAACCCTCATGGGCAGGATGGTGTGTTGTTGAAGGGTTGCACTGGATTTGCTTCTCCAGCTCTGAGGAGGCATTTTAAGGGCAAGGAACATGTGAAATGTGGACTGAGAGTTGTAATTACACAAGTAAGAAGACTTAAAGATGTAAGAGACTCAATTAAACAGCTACTAGAACTGTCCTTAGAGATAATTCTGTATTGAGCAGCTGAATAAGGCACTGACTGTTGGCAACAAAGTGTTGATGCCTTTGCTCCTGTCATTTTTGTTTGTCTCCTTCAGGCTTTGGGTTTAATGTGAATAACAGCAACCCCACCATATGCATCAATGATCTCATTGCAAAGTTTAATAAGGAAGAGGGGACAAAGCTGAAGCCTTTGACTGCAGACTGTCTTATTGCAAGGACTGTAACTGTGCTGGAGAGGCTGATAGAGATTTTCCAGGAGAAAGGGCCCAATGGAGTTCTTCCTCGTTACTACAAGTACTGGGTACACAGGTAAGAGTCATGTCCTTCTCCTTTCTTTTCAGAAAGCTGGTAAAATAACTCAAGGATATTTTGGGTTTTTTCTACTAGATTTCCTTTCCTATGAGTGAATTAATTTAAAAATATACAGGATGTGCATTTTTAAAGGGGAATAAAAATAGCACATAGTAAAGCCAATGGATTAGCATGAGTTACAGAATGTCTCCAGGTGTTTTACATGTATCATCTCCAAACAAAGGGAATTGGGGATGATTTATTTTCATAGTGATGAGGCTGCTGTACTTTTATAAAAAGAAAATAGACTGTTTGGATTAACTTAACTCCAGCTCTGTTCATTCCAGAAGAAAAAATGAAAGCAGGTAGAAAATGCTGATGAAAATCATTCACTGTAAAGAACCAGTGAATCACAGAATATTCAGAGTTGGAAGGACCCACAAGTATCATCAGTCCAACTCCTGCCCAGGACACTCCAGCAATGCCCCCTGAGCCTGAGAGCATTGGCCAAACCCTCCTGGAGCTCTGTCAGCCTTGGGGCTGTGACCACTGCCCTGGGGAGCTGTTCAGTGCCCAAACACCTCTGGGGGAAGAACCTTGTCCTGATATCCAACCTAACCCTGCCTTGACACAGCTTCAGGGCATTCCCTCAGGTCCTGTCACTGGTTGCCAGGGAGAAGAGGTCAGTGCTGTCCCTCCACTGGCCCTTGTAAGAAGGTTGTACGCAGCAATGAGATCTCCTCTCAGTCTCTTCCAGGCTGAAAGTGACAGTGAAGTGAGAAAGAAAAATAATCTACTAGAGGGTGAGGCCTTCCTTGTGAGGTGCTGAGGCACTGGCACAGGTTGCCCAGAGCAGCTGTGGCTGCTCCATCCCTGGGAGTGTTCCAGGCCAGGCTGGATGGGGCTTGGAGCAGCCTGGGCTGGTGGGAGGTGTCCCTGCCCAGGGCAGGGGTGGAACTGGATGAGCTTTAAGGTCCCTTTAACCCAAACCATTCTGTGATTGTATGATTAGTTCTCTAAGGTGTTTGTAACTGTTTGTGAAGTTAATTACTAACCACCTGGCTCTGTCCCCAGTGGGAAGCAGGTCCGACTGCGCAGTGAGGAGGGCCCAATGGCTTGGATCGTCGGGGTAGATGATTATGGATTCCTACAAGTTCACGAAGATGGCAAAGGGGTCGAGTCTGTGCACCCAGATGGCAACTCTTTTGACATGCTGAGGAACCTCATAGTCCCAAAGCAGTAACAGCCCTCAGAGCTCACAGCACAGGGGAAGCTCCTTAGTATTTGGCACCGTCAGCTTGCTTGCAGGTGGGAAGGGTAGTCAGCAGCTTCATTTTTCCTTCTGATTTTCTGCTCTCTTTGGTTTGTGACATGGATCACTTCAACAGTCAAAAAGAGGTCGTGATCTCACTGCTGAAGGCCTTTATTCTTTCATATCAACTTTAAAACACACCTGTGTTGCCATTCTTTGTAAGCCTCTGTTCTCTAAGAGGAGTCTCATTGCAAAGGAAGACTTGGAATGAACAGAACTTTCTCTTCATTTAAACACTGAAACCGAAGTGGCTAAATACTTTCTTTATGTGTCTCTGTGTTTTTCTTGTACTTTAGCACAATGCAGGACAATATTTACTTTTTTTACTCTGTTTTTTTAAGCTAAATTCTGATGTATGTGTTGTCTGCACTAAAAACAGCTGCAAGAGCTCATCCTGCATTTCTCAATTACTGGGATTACCACTGTGTGTAAGTTCAGGTCTAAGAGAACTTCCTAACTTGGTTCTTCTCCATGTAGGCCTGTACAACAGTTTACCAACCTGTGCTTGGTCTCAGGTCTGCAACTCCAATGGCTGCCTTGATTTTTTGGAAGAGCATTCCATCAGCACTTCAGAACTGTGGCTGGTTAGCCAAATTGTTTCTACTCTGCCCTTCTGAGTCCATTGGATCTGAGTAAATCATCTCATGTGTCCTTTGAACCATAGTCTTACATGAGGCTTTAACTCCAGTAAGAACAACCCACTGGAGCAGTGTCTCACTTGGTGTCACTCCAGGTGACTGTAGAGTCAGGACAGGGTAACCCTAACAAGTTTAGGATTTATTAGTAGTTCTATTGTGCTATCAGTGAAGTGAAGTGAATAAATATTCCCTGCTGTAAACAATTACTCCAGTGAAAAAGAGAAAACATCTCGTTCACCTGTGTCCAGATTCTGTTCCATAGCTTCTCTTGTCAGCCCTTCCCAAAGCAGAGCATCTGGTTTTGAAAGCAAGAGGTTTAACACCTGCTGGCCTGAAAGCAGCTCACTTTGGGGGCTGGCTACATGTTTCCAGGTTGGTTGTGACTGGGAAGCATCCTGAAGGAACCATGTGGGAGTTGCCATGCGACAGCAGCTTGTTGGGTTTTTCTCCCAGCCATTCACACCAGGAGACTTGGCCACCACAGCTCCTCAAACAGTTCTGTGCCAAGCAAAGGTTTGTCACAGGTGTGATGTGACCAACTTCATTTCCTCAGGTAGCAGCACTGCTTGTTCCCTTCCCTTGTCCCTGCTGGAGGTGGAGCAGCCAAACTGGTTTCCACAAAGGAAACTAATGTCTACCAGCCAGAAATGGAGGTTGGGTGAAAGTTCACCCCATAAACAATCTGAACATGTTAGGAGATTGTTTCAGTTACAAAGCCAGGAAGTCTTAAAACAAGGAAACTAGTCTGCAATGTGTTCTTTTGAGAAATCCTCACATAATGGGGTTTAGGTGGTTTGGCAGCAAGTGTTAGAAATTAAGTTGTCCTTATTCCATGTAGGATTTTATGCTTCTTCTCACTTGTCTGTGTGCCTGGTTGTCCATACCTGGTTTTCCCCCATGATCCAGATGATATGAGGCTGCACACTAGCATTTCCCAGACCTGTGCTGTTAATTGGCATAATTAAAATGACACACATGAACTCCAGGTTTTGCTTTTCCCCACCAGCTGCTTTCAAAACTGCTTTGGGCTGAGGATTTTTGGCAACTCCCTCCTTTTCAGAATTAAATATTTGATGCCCGTTGTAACCAGCTGAAATGTGAGTGACTTAATAAAGTTTAAATGAACAGGAGAAACCTATATATACACAGCTATAAAAGATGTGTGTGTGCACATCCACACTCACGTCTTGCTTTTGAGTCTTCACTTGGTTTCTGCCTTTTCCTTCAAGCAGCTTATGTGCTGCTGTGGGTCAGCTGGGGAAAGCAGCTCCGATTCTGGTTTTCCAGCCACAGAGTTTGACAGTTTAGATCTGTACTTTAATCTAATGTCTGTAGCTTAAATTTTGTCTCTGCTTTGGCACTGCCTGTAGGAAGCACCTTGAGTTCTGCTCATACTCCCCACAGACTGAGCAGTGTGTGTGGAGATGTAACCACCAGGTTTGACTTGAATGGCTTCATTAAAGCATGTCCTCCTTTCACTGGGGACAAAGAATGATGAGGGAAAAGGATGAAAGAAGTTCTGTGTGAGGAGCAGAACAGACTTGCAAAGCTTCCCTCAGCTGCAGTGGCCAAGCAGCAGGTGGATGGAATTTTTTAATGGCAAAATGCTGCAACATTTCTTGTCACTCTTGTTCCTTTTGGATTTCTTCATAGCCTTAATGATAAGCTGGTTCTGTTCCTACTTTGAGTTGTAAGGTTATTCCCAACATTTTTGTGTTGGAATTAAACTCAGCATTGACCTTCCTTTCTGCAAGCAAGAGCTAACCAAGTCTGATGTGTCAGGTGGGAGCTGAAGGAACCACTTTGCCTTTTGCGTGGCCTGTTCTGGTGTATCAACCTTTCCTGTGGTCTGGAGGAAACAGCCTTGAGCTGGATGAAGGGTTTGTTGCCAACCTGAGCTTTCCTTTCAGAAGAACCAAAGACATTGCCACAGAGAATTCCCAGCAGCTGCCTCAGGTCCCTGTGAGGAGCAGCTGCTCCTGTGGAGAAAGCCCATGAACCTCCTGTACCATCAGGGAGCTGTGGAGCACAGACAGGAGTCTGACTGTGCCTCTGCCAAACGTGGCACACCCAGAAAGCCACGAGACTTTTGTAGGGAAGTCATTGTTATTCTTGTTCTTTTGTAGGAAAATCATTGTTATTCTTGTTCTTTCTGTGTGACAGACAAATGTGGTGCAGAGTGTCCCTGGACATAAGTATGGAGAGAGTCAGGCAACTCCAGACCCAGAAGTAATGCACTGAAAAATGTTTCATTTCATTCAGCTGTCTGGATTAGTAAAACACCTCTTTCTTTGTGAGGCTGATGTCATCTCCGAAACGATTTTCTTGATGAAGTGCTTTCAAAAAAACCCATTTATTGCCATCTCCATATTGCTGTGGCTTCATTTTTGGGGTTGTTTTTTTTCCTCCTGGACTCTGTTAGAACATTTCTCATGGTGGAAACATTTTGTAGAGGTTGTTTATTGATAGGAAAACTTCTGCAGCATGGGCTTGGACCTGTTGGCACGTGTGTGTGTGTGTTCAGAGAGAGGAGACAAGTGGGTTGTGCCCAGTCAGCAACAAAGCTGTGTCCAAAGATTTGAGAAAGTAATCATGGACTTAACATTTAAGGGTTCAAGCAGTGCATTTTGCTTCTAGTAAAAGGTTTTATAAGACTGCAGAGCATTTATATCCAACAAATCAAGGGCTATTACCTGGAAATAATATTAAAGCGTTTCATTCTTCATGCTGCTGCTTCATTGGACAAAAATCAATTTCATTGCTTTTTCTGATTCAGCTGCATCAGCAAGTCTAGAAAATTCTTCTCTGCAGCTACTTTGGAGGAGTTCTGTATGAAAAAATAAATAATAGAATCATAGAATTTAAGGCTTAGA